CTCACATTTTGAACAAAGCCTATCCCATCATAGATAGCTTTTAAGCTATCACCTTTAATATCAGTATAGATGTTAAAGTCACGCACTATGATGATTCTGTTATTTAACACTAAATCTGATAGGAACTCTGAAAACTCATCTAAAAATTCAAAGTAAGGACCTGGTGGTTGATAGATACTTACAAAGATAAGAGGTTTTGTTGTTTTGCAATTTTGGTGAGGGAAACTAATGGTTGAGTGCTCAAAAGTTGTTAAATTGTTGTATACAAAGTATAAATCTGTAATTATTAACTGACTTTGGAGTAATCAGTAAGTCAGAATGAAAAATTGTTGCTAGTCCTCCTCTTAAAAAACTTTAAAACCTTTTTAAGATTTGTATTCCTTCTCTTGTTTATTACAGCTGTTTATCAAAGCGTTAATATTTAGATAATTTCCAGGTGAGAGACACCACACAGTGTTTGTTTTCATGGTCTCAAAATGGATAGCACCACCCCTGATCTACCTTTTTTGGAAAATAATTCACAGATGGTTTTGTATTGTTGGGTCTTCGTTGGATATGCTAATGCTAGTTTGTAGTTCATCCTCCATTTCCTTGTGTGAATGACTGTTCAGAGTTCTGCTGTTATCATTCAACTCTGCTCCAGTTGTTTGAGTCCATTTGGATACTCTGAAACATCACAGCCGTGATCCTTTATTTCCTCTATTTTTTCTCAGAAATCTGAAACACCTGGAGCCACATACATTTTTAGAGGTTGGGGGCATGGGAGGTGGGGTGAAAATGTATAAGTCCCAGTATCCATGGTGAGCTTGAAATTTAGTAATATGGCACTGCGTAGCATTGTGTACTGCTCTACTTAAAGCACCGATCTCAAGGAAAACCAAACTTTTTTTTAGCAAAAAAATGGTAGAAGTGTATTATAATTATGTTGTTATGGAAGGAGGCTGGTTCTTTGAAACAAAGAGGAACATGTTTTAATATAAAATGTCTTTATCAATTCCAGTTTCAAGGCAACAGACTACAAAAGATGCTGACTGAAGAGGTGTCACTATCTACATTACAGCAAATACTCTAAAGACATGAAGTGAAAAGCCCCTCAACAAGAAAGAAGCAATTTCTCCAGTAAAACAAAAATAGATCATATTTGAAAATGCAAAAAAATTACCTTTGTTTTTGGAATCATGCTTTGTGGTCACCTAAAAATTAAAATAAAATATTTGTCCTGAATGACCATCGTAGAATTCTGGAGAAAAAAAGAGTACGCTTGCAAGCCTGACAACAAATAGCATCCTAAGAATGGCAGAATCCTGTTGTCTGGGTGTTCAGTGCATAAATTGATGGAGTAATAACAAAAAATACTGTTCGAAATATTAGAGCTATATTTCATGGACCAGACAGGAATTTATAGCTTGGACAAGTATGGTTTTGTAAAATTGTCAATATGTCAGGCACAGCAGTTCTGTCCGGAGAAATGGGTCAAAAATCCAATAAATCTAAACTCAAACTGTTTAACCAAAGTCTTGCACTTAAAAAACAAACAAGAAAATGTGTGTAAACTTGACAAAGTTTAAATAAATATATCATTATTTAGGCATTTAACAAATCTAAATAATAGAGACAATCCTAATTGAGCTGTTAAAGGAAATGCTTAATCTGTTTACTGCTACAAAACTATAGCTAACAAAACTACTTTATTCCAAATTGTTGTTTTAACTGCTTGTTTTAGGGTATCACTAAAAGTTCCTAACCATTAAGTTTATTCATGTTATGCAGACACAATTGTTTTTCGTTATAAAAAGTTATTGGCCTTTTATTTTATTTTATTTTTCGTCACTTAAAAGTAACCATAGATTATGATTCTGTGGCTGAAAAGCACCCTGTTAATAGTAATCTAACCCTAGCCTTAAATGTAAAACTGTTTTTATAGACTGCATGAAACCTGGCAATAAAGAATGACCAATAAACCACTGACTGAAAAGAAAACCAGTTGGATCAATTCAATGCTTTGGTCTGTTGAACATTTATTTGAAAGAAACCTGGCCCCAGAGGCAGAGCTGCTGGAAAACAGCTGAACCAGGGGAGAGGTTAGGGAGGCTAAAGAGCTTTCCTCAGATGACAGTTATGATTAGTAGGTGTGAATGAGTTGCAGAAGACTCTACCAAAAATGTTCATGATACAACATTATAAAGTGTGCTTCAAATGAGCTAGCTGAAATGGTCCATAAAGTAACGCGTGTTAAGAAACCATTAAGAAGAAAAAGTAATTTTGTAAAAGTAATTTTTCAAGTCAAGTTTTCCAGGATAATAAACCCAAAGGTTTTCATATGAACAATTCAAAAGCCTTAGGGCACCATAAACGACCCACTGTCAAATACCCCTTAGAAAGGAAAACAGTTTTTCTATAAAAATAATGATTTAATAAAACATAACTTTTCAATTATCTGAGATTATTAGAACATTTCCAGCTATTTTCTGTGAACTGCTTTAAGATATTTTGCATCTGATGAAGTTAAAGTAAAAGGTTGCAGTGAAAACAAAAATTCAAATATTGCCTGATGTCTGATGATGTGATTAGGAATGAATAAAATTTTAATAAACACGTCATACCTTCAGGGAAAATAAATGCAACAAAAGCAGGAGCTGTTGCAGCAACGTAAGCCAAAGTAAATGACATAATAGGGTGGGTCTTTTTGAGGAAGGAGTACAACGCATTTAAAAATAGTTTCTAAACTCTACGTGAAATATGCGTTTCTCATGATGCTGAGTTTATGTGCCTGTTGTCTGGATGGCAAAGGGGGTAAATACTAAGAGACCTTAATGGGTGGGTGGGTGTGTTTTAGGACTTGGACGTGTGAATGTGAGGTAGGTGCAACACACAAAGGAAGAAAACAAACAGGAATACTGTTCTGTGTGCAACATAGCATGAATCAAAAGCAGCTTTGCTGGCTTCTACTCCACATGCTTCAGCCAGCCAGGAAATGGGATTTTTTTTCTTTAATATTTTGCAGGTAAAATTGTTTCAGAAAGGAATCAGATGAGGTGTTTTTTCCCTCTACAAAACATTAAGGTCTTAGGGCTGACTCTCTGGAAACAGGAGAAAGTTTGATTCTGGGTAGAGGGCTTATATGAATGATGATAGCTTGCAAAACATCTTTTCTGGGGTAAGATTTGCCCAACTATGCAGCTAATCATCACCACAAGCCAAGATATTTTACAGATTTTATTCAAAGAGATAATTAAGGTCAAATATATTATTTTCCCTGAGCCCCTGTCGGCCTCGGCAGATAGCCGCTCACACTGAGCTGGTTCTGCTCGAGGTTACTTCCTGTTAAAAGAGTTTTTTCTCTCCACTCTCACTACAAACATACTCAGTGTGAGGGAGTGCTGTGGAGTCTATGAGTTGATGCAATCAGGTGGTTTTCCTTATATAGAAAACTTGAATCAATCTGACTGTTTGATCTAGTTGAATTGTCCCTGTAAATTACCTTGAGATGTGTTGTGAACATATAAATAAACTGAATAATTGAAATGATTTTTCCATTGTCTGACATGGGATTGATAACAGTTAGGTCTTTTTCCTGTCAATAGAAATGAGCTTTATTTATGATCTAACTAATAAAAGACCCCATCACAAAAGAGAGCTCCAGCCTCATTCAGGACTTTGAATCACTCATGCTTACACTGCTCATAATAGAAAGACCAGATAACAAAGATACATGGACGAAACTAAGAATCTTTATCATGCAAGAATAAAAAATAGCACACAAACCACAACTATTGACAACATAGAGGATGAATAGACAAGCAAAGAGTCATGGTACATCTCAAATGTCTTTATTCCAACCTAAACTCAATAGTTCTTCCTACCAATGAAGTTTTGTTTGCGAAATATAAAACAGTTGCACTGCTGCTCTGATTCATTCAACATGAGGTTATTTAAAAAAGAAAAAGAAAAAATTCTTCCCAAAGGCAATTCCAGCATTAATCTATTGACCAAACTGAATTATTTTCTAATATGTGATCCACAATTCAGACAGTGAATCTGGGAATAGACAAAGCACACTTTATAACAATAAACTTTAAACTTTGTATTAGCAGAGTAAGTGAAACCTCTCCTCGAGAAGCCACTTTGCATTCAGTGGCGAGTTGGTTTGCCAAGGCAGAACGGCGGCGGTTAATTGAATGGTCTGCAGTGAGAGGCTGTGGGTTGGATTTCTTTGAGGTTATGGTCATTCTCCCCTGGGAAAGTGGTTAGGCCGAGGTGTTTACCTTGGAGGAACCCTGCCCCTCGCCTAAAACCATTCACTCTACACTTGGTTAACTTATGGTTACCTGCTCACACTAATATATTTATAAAATATTCAGACTCTATTTATGACCCTTTATTGTTTAAGTACATATAGTGTATGTAAATTAGAAAGAAATCCTTAAGGATTTTTCCACATGGGCGCCTTCCCATGTCACTGCAGGTGTGTGTGTCTGTGTGTATGTGTGAAGGGAACTAGGGGAGGGACAGAGGTGAGGGGTTGGGAGGTTGGGGAGGGTGCACAGACTGAATTGGGGCTGAGGTAGCTGCATCTTCACCCAAAGTGCAGTTTAACTTTCTCTCAGCTCCCCTCATTCACACAAGCTCCTTCACTGCACTGGACTGAAATGTTTTCTTTCTCGACTTGGGCCACCAGAGATGATGATGATGACGATGATGCTTCAGAGTAACTCTTCATAAAGCTTGCTGGAGAAAAGGGCAGAGTTGCAGCTGATGGGCTGCTGCTGCTACTCTTTCTATCTTTATCCCTCTTTTAATTTGGACACTGGGGAGAAATAAATAGCTCCACACACACTGTTGGGAGGCAAATGAATGGAGGAGACTCGTGGGGATTTTCCCAAGGCTGAAGGCACACCTAGAGATCCTAAATGGACCAAAATGCATTTGGCAGAATAATTTCAAACGTTGTTTTCGAACATGTTCTTGCAAGGAATTTAATTTCTTAACCTCTGACTTTTTTGTGTGTGGAATTTACCCAGAAGAGTTGTGTAAGTTACATTTATTTTTGATAAGAATAATGAATCATTTGCTCTAAATAATAGATGATGATTGAGGCATAAAATAGAAAATAGTAAATATTTTATTTGACCTATATAATAATTTTTTCCCTCAGATGTTTGGGTCAAGCATGTATTCTTTAATGCTGCTTCACCAGTGGAGTCTGGCTGTGATCTTGCTGTGTTCCCCAGTGACCTTTGAAGGGAGACCGGCTGATGCACTCATTAACAGACCGTAAGTTAAAACAACAACCTTAAAATATATATTTTGATTTCAAATGAGAAATTAGAGACCCTTTTTACATGGTCATAATTCAATTAAAATTAATTCAATTCAGTTTATTTATATAGTGCCAATTCACAACACAAGTCGTCTCAAGGCACTTTACAGAAACAATACTGTCTCTGTAATAAAATAGGGGATGGGGGGGTGTCTCCCTGTTAGAGTGGTCTTAAAACAAGAGTAGTGACAGGTTTAAAGACATGTTTGTGCTGCCACCTACTGTACTAAAGTTTCCTGAATCCGGACCATAAATTTTAGCTGCCAAACATAAACTCAACACTCTGGAGTGAAAGAAAACTCCATAGAGATGGAAAACAAATGCAGTCATAAGAATTTCCGTGTTACAATATTAAGATTTATCTAATAAACATTTGAAATAAGGAAAATTTAAACATGGAATAAAAGAGTAGTTATTGTTTTTAAATATATGGTGACAAAACCCAGCATAAAAATTAGGCTGATTTTTCACATTTTCTATCTGCTTTCATTAAACCCTGATCTGTCTTTGAATGTAGGAGAAGGTCGGTGAGCCACGCACAGTTGATGAATGACAAGAGCCGTTCCATCCAGGAGCACAGGCGCAAAACGTGGCTACAGCAACTGCTGGAGGAGGTGCACACGGCTGGTGAACACGCTCCACCTGTGCAGAGCAGGACCCAGGGCCAAACGTCCAGTGGGAACGTTCTACACCAGAAGCCCCAAGGGGCCAGCAAGGACCTTCTAGAGAAGTTTAATGTGGACAGAATAGGTCCCCACCTCCCCCAGGAGACCATCAAGGCTTCGCCATACAAAGACCAGGACTTAAAAGTTACCACCAAGAGGAAAAAAAAGGTCCGGTTAGGCAGACGCAGAGAGAATGAAAAGAAGAGGAGAAGAACCCCTTCTGCCGTTGGAAATGGGCCGTGAATGGATGAGGACCAATGGGACCTTTTTCTAATGGTGCTGCATTAAGACACTGACAAGGACTGACACCTGGCAGACTGTCTCAGAAGTCAGGGTCATGCTTGTATGATAAAATAGTCATATTTTTGTTTTTTGCATACTTTCTGGATTTTTTTAACATGAAGTCTTAGGTCCATATTTATTAGTAGGATCTCTGCACCTGTAACTTGGATGTCCTTTGTATGCCTTGTAATCTATAGCCAAACTTGTACACAGACTGAGCAGACTAGGAAATGTTTATTTCCTTTGGTACAGGAACCACATAAAGGAGGTTAAGAGAACTACTTTCTTTTGGCTCTGCAAACGTCGACCATCTTGAACCAGGAATTCTAAGAAAACCTTTCAGTTAAAACAGTCATGAAAAAGAAGGTACACCCTGTTTCACACAGATTTGATGTTAATCGGCAAGTTTGAGTGTAAAAAAAACAAAGAATGTGCAGTTTAAGCAGTTTTAAAAGCAACCAAAGTATGTAGAAAGAAGGGAAAGACAAAGAACGGGATGATAGCTGCATGTGCTAGTGTGCATGTGCTGCCCATCTTTTCTTCTACAAATAAATAAAAGACAGAAGAGGCTGTCAAAGTGGAAAAAGGCCTGAATTGTTCTAGCAGAGTGTCTGACTAGCAGGGCTGTGAGTTGTTCATTGTACTCATTTTTTTTTTTTACTTTAGATGGCTCTGTTATGCTTCACTCAGGGCAGAAGTTTGAACATCCAGGATGTGTGGGGTTAGGGGCTCTTTTTTGGCTCTAGACCAGTTAGTTATGCAGTTTTGTAAATGATTAATAAATCCTTTTAGCTTTGCCAGCTTCTAAAATTATTTATTTTTAACTTTTGTTATTCATCAAACAACCATAGGAATTTACTGAACCAACTATTGCAGTAACGACTTAAGTGAAGTCATGAGTCTCACATTAACACAGATGAGTTTTTGATGCCCTCCTTACTATATAATGTTGCTTAGATATTCTTGTATATGACCCAATTCTAGCTCAGTTTTGGAAATATGGCCTTTAACAATAACCTCAAGAGTTCTTTAGTATGTAGACCAGCTTATGGTCAGTAAAAAGGTTAAAAGTGGGCCCACATCCAGTGGATGACCACCACCATGCTTGACAGCTGGTATTAGGGTGCTTCTATGTCCTCTGTTCGGCTGCCATTAAATATGCAGTTTGGTTTTAGAGCTAAACAAATGGGATTTGTCCAAAATAAAATGATCCAAAAGGTTATAAGTTAACAAATATGCAATTTTACATCTTGCAGGAATGAAACATTTCTGCAAATCCTCTTAATGGGACAGATTTATTTCACCCGGCGAGTAGAGTCTGAGATGCAGTTTTGTTGTCATTTATCAGAACATTGCATGTGGTCACTATGCTGGAACATTTTCTCCTTGGAAGATTGGTAGCTGTCCTAAATGCTTTTCAACACACATAGACTTAGAGGCATCAAAAGCAGATTTTTCTCCTTGGTATTATGTTAGAAAACATTGAAATAATCCAGATCAGCAAACTGCATAACCCCCTGCTTTAACTCTATAGAATACACCTGGCAATAGCTCTGATCTTGTGAGGGTGAACTCTCTTTTTAAATGACTGTACCTCTGTTTCAAATGGTTCAGCCATAATTTATTTCATTTTTAAAATCTATATTTATTTTGTGAATGTATCATGGTGCTGCTGATTTAATTCCATTATGCACTTTAGTAACATCCTGTATAAGTTCCTTTGTGGTTGAATTTTGGCATAGGGGCTGTTGTTGATGGTACTGCTTTCCTTCCTCACTTCAGATCCCTCATGGACTCATAACTTATCAGAAGCACCATCGGATTTAGCTTCTGTTGAGTTGAGTTACAGTTTGTGTGTTTGGGATAAGCCAAAGCCAGGGGCTCGACCCAGCTTCATTGTTCTGGACTTGCACTGAGGGATTGCTGTACATGTTCCAGTTAATCAAACATTAAAAAAGTAGCTTTTAGGTATATTTGGACTCATGGTGTCTTTATTGACTTTTTTTTTCAGAGCTACTTCATGACTTTGGTGTTCATTTACCTTTGCTAGAGACCAGATTCTGTCGCAGATAACATTGGTGTGAACTCAGTCCAAGACCCTAAAATGGACCCTGGAACTGTTCTCTTGCACGATTATAGCTTTTGGTCTCAGCATGGTTTATTTAGGACCCGGATCCCTTCATTGACTGTGCAAACTCCTGCTAACCCAGCATGCCAAAAGAAAAACGAGCAGATGCCAGGTAAGAGTTGCGCCTGTTAAAAAAAGAAGATTAATGACAAATTCAGAGCTGAATCAGAAAACAAAATAGCTTGAAAATGTCCCATAAGCAGAAGAAATATCGAGACAGTTTAGAATGTAAAGTTATGTGCAAATTCTGATATTTTAAATATTATTAATTTTTTTAAAACAAATGAATAAAAATCACTTTACCAATTAAATTTTCTAATACAAAAGTTATGAAATTAAACCTCACAGTCGATAATGTAGATGTGTTAGAACAGTGCTGAGTACATAACCTCCTCACCAGATATGAAGTAAGTATGTATGCCAAAATATAAACATTAACTGTGTGTCTTTATCTGGAGCGCTTTTTTTTCAAACACGCTTGTTTATAACTCAGTTAAATTAATAATAATTGAACTTTATTGATCTCACTGTGGAGAAACTTACCTTTGCATTTAAGCCATCCCCTTGGGGAGCAGTGGGCTGCCATCGTGGGGCGCCCAAGGAGCAGTGTGGGGTTAGGGGTCCCAGATTGGCAGTCTGTGGGAGTGGGTTTCAAACTCACAACCTCAGAATTTCAAGCTTTATGCCCTAACCCCTATGCCACCCTAAGTATCCATATCCATAGTTAATCATGATGGATAGAGTAGCAAAGTATTTTACTCAAGAGTAGAACTATTTTATAAAGTAAAAGAAAAAAAATTTGATGAGGTAAATTTAACTGGATAAATGTAACTAAGTACTACCCACATGCTAATGAAGCTAATGAATAATGAAGAGGCTCAGAGAATGAACTAGTTTTAAAAACAAAAGTATCAGCAGAAATCCCATCAAATAGACTTTCCTCTGCGTGTTTTTTCTTCTGCTTAATATAAGTTAAGTACTTCAGCAGAAGCGAATGCACCAAAAACAATCTTGGTTTAGTCTAAAACTCTGCATTTAAAGGAATAGTACACCCAAAACATGGTTAGCTTTCATTTTCTACTCACCCCCATGCTGAACAACACTCTGGAGTACTTTTTTGATATCTCAAATGCATCTGGAGATCTGGGAGGCTTCTTCTGCTGACATTCAAATAATGGAGGTCCATAGCGCCCGAGGCAGAAAGGTCCATAAAAGTCCACAAAAAACGTGTCAATATTCCTCCAAACTGCTCGTCCAATGTATTCCAAGTGTCCTGAGTGGGTAGCGTCCAGAATTTACTCGAAACGAAGTCATTTAGAATGTTTTTAGAGCCTAAACAGTAGTGTATAGGATTTCCTAAAAGCGCGCGCCTGCGAGCAAGCGTAGAAGAAGAAATGTGCTGTTTACCTGTGCAAAGAAAGAAACAACGAAAGAAAAATGTCTGAGGACTTCAGTGTTGAGGAAGAGCATGAGTTCTTTGCCGAGCTGAATGCGCACTTTCATCTGGTTTGGTCTGCCGCGGTTTCCGTAGAGTCCCCAAAACAATCTTAGTCTAAAACTCTGCATTTAAGGAAATGTTCCAGATTAAGGTGTGATTTTTTTTTTCTCATGGTCCTGGACTGGACCACAAGACCCCTAAAGCAGAATCACAGGCAACGACCAGCAGACAAAGCAGAGGCAAAAAAAAAGGAAAGCAGAAGTACTTTCTTAGTCGAAGAAACATAAAAGATATCTCTATTACAACCGTTTTAATATTACTTGTAATGTTTTTTTTAGTTAAAGTTTGTTTTAGAATATACTGCATATTGAATATAATAAAATATCACTATTGGAAGGAATAAAGAAAGGAAAAAATACTTTTTCTATGGCAGACCAGCTCCCTGAAAAAGAAAACAACTTTTCAGTCCAAATATGATTATAAAAAATATTTATTGCTTACCTTATTTACCAAATTTTACATGATGCTATATAAAACAAACTAAACTGCAGGTTAGATATTCCTGATTTACTCACAAAACATCTACCTGAAGCATTTTTGATAGAATATTAAGCTGGGATTCAGGTTTTTTTGTTATTTCCACACCACCATTTTAATGATCATTTTTTAAAGCTCGTTTTAACCCGTAATTTACTCTCTGAAACACAGCTTAATATTCTGTCAAACATGCTTCATGTAGATGTTTTGTGAGTAAATCAGGAAGAAACATCTAACCTGCAGTTTAACCATGCTTTAAAAATCATCATTAAAATGGTGGTGTGGAAATACAAAAAAAAACACATCAATAATTTTGTTGATCTTTTGGCAAAGGCAGCAGAAAACCAAGCTGTTAATGTCCCACTTGAGAAACATGTGGCTTTTTTAACAGCCCCCGAAAGAAAGACATAGACACTGGTAATGGTCTGGTTACCAGATGCATCGATGTCAGCTATATCCTGTGCTAACAGCAGCAGTGTACGCCACAGGCCATTAGCTGACGCAGAGCCATAAATGCTGTGGAAAGCCTGATAAAGCCACGGTTAGCAGCCTGCAGATCGCATTGGAGAAATCAATTGGAGCAATGCAGAGAAACATTAATATCTGTGTTCTGAAGTGTCGTAGCGTGACTGATATAAGAAACGGCGTCTGCACCGTTGGAGTTGGGTAATCTCTAATCAAGGGAAGAGAGACTGCCACACACAGTAGGTAAATTTGAATGTTGCATTCAAAAACACTGTACAACACAATGGAGAGCAGTTGAAAGAACTGTCAGATCATCTGGATTTCATCCTGATGAATCATCACAGACATTTTGTTTCATAAAAACATCAAAGCTGTAATAAGTTTGGGTGGATTTTTGCTTTAAAATGATTCAGATGTAATAAAAAAGGAGGTTGAGGAAGAAAATGTGGATTCTTAATTCTATCGAAATGATTCTAGTATACATTACAGTGCCACCAGAAATTTATAAGGATTAAAATAAATATTTGAAATGCTAAAAAATAGAATTTTACAGCAATACAATAAATATTTGCATCTTTCAAATTTCCAGGCTTGTATAACATGTTACTGCTCGCTCAGTCTTTGGACAGCAGGGAACATTTCTCTTTAAATTCAGTCAACTAGAATAAATTTGGTCCAAGCAGTGTTTGCCTTTTATGCCTCCAACCTTTAGCTGTGACACTCGGTGATCATTCCGAAGAGGAAGACAAGCCCGCCTTGGTTGGAGCATTACACCAAGATAAACTCAGCTTAACAAAAATCATATTTTCCACACATTATGTGGATCATTTATTTACAGACGCTGCAAAAAGAAGACAGCTGAGGAACAACGATGGTGGGTGTAATTATGATTATTTATTTCTTAATACATTTTATCTCTAAGTTGTTACTGAATGTTACATTTGCTCTGTAATATTTACATTTTAAAAATATTTTTGCTTTGTTTCAGAAGCAATAGTATACAGTGTTGTTTTTCGCTACCATGAATCTGATTTTTTAAAATTTTATTGATATTTTTCTAATTAACGCCTGGATATATTGTTTTCTTTGTATGTAGTTGTTTTACAAAAGTACTTACAGTGGTTTTAATGAACATAATCCAGTTGGAATGGCTGTTGTGATTTAAAAGGCTCATAAAAGCATTTCCAACATGTTTAATGTACGTTTAATGCAAGACTATATGAGATTTAAGTGAAAAACCCAAAAAAGAAGAAATATTACAGGAAAAGTTTAGAGCATGACAATGTACTAAATCATTGCGCAAAAGTGCAGATATTTCACATTTAATATAAGAAGAAGAATGATTGAAATGCACATGCATAATTGACACCCCTTTTTAATATTTTCCAACATATATTCGTCTTGGTTTAACACCAATAATTTAATGTGCATTTGATAAGTCTAAAATAACGATAGCTTGTTTCCAGATGATGTTCCTGGCATTGATTAGCTAAACCCAAAGCCTGTAAAAAGCTTTAAAATAATCTTATCAAAGGTATCAATCAGGAGAAGGTGTTTAAAGCTTTATTCAAAAGTCGTATTGTGTGACAGTAAAATAATTCACCAATAAGTGAAGATTATAAACCAGGGACCAAAGAGGGAATACAAATTCTGTTTCTTTCTCCCAACAAGACAGAAACTACAGAGTCACTGCGCAACTTTAGATGTGATAAAAAAATAATTTATTTCACTAATTCAGTTTATTAAGGTAAAAAAAAAAATCATAACATGCTTTCAGGTATCCTTTCAATTAACTATAAAGATTTTCTTTTTAAACTGATAAACCAACAGACTTAAAATGTTTACATCACAACAACAAAGAGGACTTTTTAAGACAGCAATGACGGCTTAAAAAAAAGCATATTTAATACTTGCTTAAAGGTTTATATTTTCAAAGGTTTTATTTTCACAAGAGACATTAAATCCTCATTGGACCCAATTTCTAATTGACTCAGTGATATCAGGAGGTGGTGGTTTTGCTAAACATGCACTTTTGTCTGGACTAAGAAGCTAGGTTACAAAATAATATTAATTCAGAACCGGTGTCAAGATCCGTGAGAAAGCCTCTCATCTCTCAAAACCCTGCGGGAGGATATGTTATGCTCTGAAGAAACCAAACCTGAACTCTTGGGCCATTTAACCAAATAATATGTTTGGCACAAAAAGTAATAGCGAGTCTATCCACAGTTCTGGAGCATTACCAGGTGTCAGCTAGAAAGCTTCAGGAAGACTTCATAGGAGGATTATATAAGTTTGGTTTTTACCAAGCCTGACTTAACAAAATATATCCTCACAATCTAAAAGAAGTAAACAAGATTTGGAAGCTATTGCGGGAAAGTGGGATGCTGGAAGGTTCCTACTGAAGAAGATTGATTTTTAGAAATGAATCAAAAGATGCCAATAAAAACATTTTAGTTTAAGGGGTTCAGAGCTTAAACCAGGGGTCACCAACGCGGTGCCCTCAAGGACCACATGGGGGGCCCTCAGAGTCTTCTAAATAAAGAACAACCCACCTGTGGGCTAAGTTTGAAATTTTATTTTATTCTGTTGCTCTTCTTTTTAATCATTTATAGAGATTTCAAAATGACAATGTCTAAATAAACTTAGAAGTTAACAGAAACAATAAAAATATGTTGATAATGAACAAAGTTTAGGCTAACGCTAACCCTTGCAGCTCATGGGTCAGTAATGGTCGCCCTTCCTAAGTCTCGGTACCCTTGAAGTGGCCCTTAGCCTTAAAAAGGTTGGTGACCCCTGGCTTAAACAATACAAATTAGCCAGATTCTTCTAGTTTCTTTCTGTCTAACAATTTTTCTGTTATTCCCTTAACTTTACATGATAAATAGTGCATTAAAAGTGGGGTAATCTTTTCAGTGTTTAATTCATCTGTTTAGGAAAAAGTCATTTTAACAAGGCTGTATAGACGGTAACTCCATCCGTCCATCCATCCATGGACAATTTGAATTTCATTTCAAAATCCCAGAGTACTTCGTAGTCTTAAAAACTATAACATAAAAAAAAGAAATTAAATCACAAAGAAAATTTAAAATAGATTTTAAATTAAATAAATGAAGTAATTTGACGTTTTTTTTTTACATTTGTTCCAGGTGTCTGGCTGGTGGTAACATGGCTATTCCCAACACCTATGGGGTGATCTTTGCTTGTGTCTGTGGGGTGATCCTAGGCATTGGTTTCTTTGCCAACCTGCTGGTTTTCTCTTTATTTGCCAAGAAAAACACACTACGAAAGAATCGCCTGGACATCCTTCTTCTCAGCATGGCTCTGGCTGATTTTCTCACCCTCCTCCTCATTCCTTTCACTCTGCACTCCGCTGTAAGTAACTCTTGGCCCCTGGGCGACATCTCTTGCAAGGTTTACCAGTTCCTACTGGCGTTCAGCCTGGCAGCGAGCACATACTCATTGTGTGCTGTTTCCATGACTCGAGCCATGATCATCACCAACCCCTACCAGCCTCCCACCATGGACCTGGTCATCCTCATGTTTGTCTTGGTCTGGGCCCTAAGTTTCTTCATCAGCCTGCCCCTGCGAATGTTTGCCACTAAGGAAAATCTTGACCCAGGCCTGGCAAAATTTAGCTACTGCCTTCCAACCATTCATGAGCACCACTACCAAGTAGTCTTAAGCCAGTTCGTGCTTTATTACTTTATTCCAATGGTGGTCATCGCCTTCAACTACATTCGCCTGGCGCTTTTCCTCCACAAGAGTCCTGTAATGTCAGTGTCCAGTGCCAGGAACACCCGCAGAGCCTCTGTCATGGTGTTTTTAGCTGCGGCTACCTTCTCTGTGTGCTGGCTGCCCGGATATATGCTAGAGCTGTGCGTGTACCTGGGACTGTACCGACAGGGACAAGCTTGGGATACGTTCTACTTTATATGCACCATGCTGCAGTACCTGCATCCCAGCATCAACCCGGTGCTCTATGTGCTGCTGTCCAAGCGTTACCGCCACAGGAGGGCAGCCTGGCTCTTCAGCTGCAGTAAGAACAGAGTGCAGCCTCAGGTCACCAGCATCTCCACAGACAGCCTCTGATTTCAGATTGTCATTTCTACTTCTAACTTTAATTTAAAAAAACAAAACTATGAAAGATGCTTATGCAGACTTGGTGCAAAAAAAAAAAAAAAAAAAAAAAGAACTGTAGAATTAATCAAAGTGTTAATGTCTTTAATATAAAACATTTTGAGATTATATTGCACTTAGTATTAGTATTTTGTATTGTATTGTATTGTTCCATCATGTACATGCTAATATTTGAGGACTAATAATATCTAATTAGAAAACACGTATCCTTTTGCCTTCCCCTTTAATTTTCATATGCATTATGATTCTGAAACATTTCCTACACAGGTTTTGCTCTGTTTATAACTATGATTACACAAAATGTTCAAATTAAATGTTAGTTTTTATTATACTGGTGAATAAATAACACTGAAAGGAATATATAGTGATGGTCAATGTCATCGGTAGAAATGTGTAAAAGGCTTTAAATTATCCATCTCTTATGAAGGAGCAATCATTTAGCACTGATGTAATACTTTTTTTACTTCAGATTTTTGCCAATAGGAAAAAAAAAATCGACCTATCCAATAACATATCAAGGGTTTGAAGCACAAAAAGACAGGATTTTTCAATATCTTTTCTAACCTAAATGTTTCATTTTTGATTAAGCTCTTAGTTTTGCATCTGGTGAGGAAATCATGTTTTGGTTTTTTTCTTTAGAATCCACTAGTTTTTATTTTTTTAAATTTTATTTACTAAAATTGTGATTTTATTTCGATTTTCCTTTGAACTAAACCCAGTGTTTATATCTACTTGCTTGTGTGCTAGCTTCAACTCTCTACCTTTCTGTGCGGTGACAAACCCACTTCAACTGTTTGATCACCACCAAAACGGCTGGAAAGAGAAATTATGATTATATTGCAAATGCGATTAATTGCTTGGCTATAATATTAATTAGTTTATGTAATACACTGATCAATGTAGATATGTCTACATTTATTCATAATAGTTTTCTAGATGTAAAGAAAAACATACAGAAGTAACATTACCCACTAAAGTGGTGAAAGTCACTAATGGTGGTGAAAAGTGGTGAAAGTCACTAATGATATTCTCATGGCCTCAGATAATGGACTTGTATCTGTGCTCGTCCTGTTGGATCTTAGTGCTGCATTTGATACAGTTGACCATAATATTCTTTTAGAAAGACTTGAATATTTTGTTGGAATTAAAGGAACAGCACTAGACTGGTTTAAATCTTATCTATCTGATCGAATTCAGTTTGTTCATGTTAATGATAGATCTTCAACACGCTCAAAGGTTACCTGTGGAGTACCACAGGGATCAGTGCTAGGACCAATTCTCTTTACTTTATACATGCTCCCAATTGGTAGAATTATTAGACAGCATGGGATTAATTTCCACTGTTATGCTGATGATACCCAGCTATATCTGTCTATAAATCCAGATGAAGCTAACCCATTACATAGATTACAGGCATGTCTTGAAGACATAAAAACCTGGATGACTCTTAACTTTCTGCTTCTGAATGCAGACAAAACAGAAGTTATAGTCTTTGGACCAGAGTCTCTGAAAAAGAAACTGATTAGCCAGTCACTTCATTTGGATGGGATTAAACTGATTTCAGATAATAAAGTAAAAAATCTTGGTGTTATTTTTGATCAGGACCTGTCATTTAAATCCCATATCAAAGAGGTTTCTAGAATTTCCTTCTTTCATCTGAGGAACATTGCAAAAATTAGAAATATCCTGTCCAGGGGTGATGCTGAGAAACTAGTCCATGCATTTGTTACTTCAAGGCTGGACTATTGTAATTCTTTACTATCAGGAAGTCCACAAACTGTAGTTAAAAGCCTTCAGCTGATCCAAAATGCTGCAGCCAGAGTTCTAATGAAAATGAAAAAGAGAGATCATATCTCTCCTATCCTGGCTTCTCTTCATTGGCTTCCTGTTAAATCAAGAATAGAATTTAAAATCCTCCTTCTCACATATAAAGCCTTAAATGGCCAAGCTCCATCTTATATCAGAGATCTGATTGTTCCTTATGTTCCTAACAGAGCACTTCGCTCTCAATCTGCAGGTTTACTAGTGGTTCCTAGAATTTCTAAAAGTAGAATGGGAGGCAGATCTTTTAGTTATCAGGCTCCTCTCCTGTGGAACCAACTACCAGTTTTAGTCCGTGAGGCAGACACCCTGTCTACTTTTAAGGCTAGGCTTAAAACTTTCATTTTTGATAAAGCTTATAGTTAGGGTGGCTCAGGTTATCCTGAGCTATCTCTATAGTTATGCTGCTATAGGCTTAGACTTTTGGAGGACATAGGGACCCCCATTTCATCATTCTGCTTCATTCTCTCTCTGTTCTCCTATTCTGCAGAATCTGTTAGTTCAATCTCTAACCTTCTGCTCTCTCTGCTTTTCCTCAGAGTAGCTTTGCCTCGTCTGTTCCTGTTTGGCTGTGACGTCATCCTGGAAAAAAACATCAGCTGTGCTGCTTCTATCAACACCCTTGTTAATAGATGTTGGAGATCGGCCTGTTTTCCAGTGTGGTCCTGTTTCTCTGGCCGTGACTGAGTGGATGTGCTCTCTTCGTCCTCTGGCATGGGAGCTGCCTTTGAGTTCGTCTGCCTGGCTGTGTGTTTCCTGGACGGGGCCGCCTTTTACAGCTGCTTTTTGTATCTCTGCTTCTGTCTCCTTGAACCCCAGTCGGCCTCGGCAGATGGCCGCTCACACTGAGCCTGGTTCTGCTGGAGGTTTCTTCCTGTTAAAAGGGAGTTTTTCCTCTCCACTGTCGCTACAAGCATGCTTAGTGTGGGGGATTGTATTTGAGTCAATGAGTCAATGCAATCAACTGGTTTTCCTTAGATAGAAAACTTTGTATCAATTTGACTGTATGATCTGGTTGAACTGTAAAGTGCCTTGAGATGACATGTGTTGTGAATTTGGCGCTATATAAATAAACTGAATTGAATTGAATTGAATTAAAGGCAATTTCTGATATTCTTTGCATGCTAGCATTGGGAGAGCAATCGCTTGTCCTCCTGTCCACTTAGATGTCCACTAGTTTAGAGCTCTGCTCCAGCTTACCTTCAGACATTCATCCTTCAACAAAGCCTCAGATATTGTTGGTTTCATGATTTACCAGTAGAGTCCCAAGCAGATGTTACTCAGCCTGTGTTCTCACTGCTGCCTTCAGATGGAAAATAACCGGAACAGCAAAGTTGATCTAAATTGGGAATAACTTTTAATTCAATAATTCATCTTCTATAAAAAGGTAAATATTGAACATTTCATTTTTTTTCATGTGAACAGAGTACATTAATCTAAAAAATACATATATAAATGTTTATATATGTATAAATGTTTATATATAAAAATGTTATATAGATAGATAGACAGATAGATAGACAGACAGACAGACAGACAGACAGACAGACAGACAGACAGACAGACAGACAGACAGACAGACAGACAGACAGACAGACAGACAGACATTTTAGTAAAATAAATAGAAATATATGTTACCTAATAGGTAAAAAAATAAGATGACTATATTAAAAATGTGAAACACTTATAATTACCCATGAATAGAGATGTCAAACTAACATTTAAAAACAGAATGAGTAGCTTTCCTCTTCGAGAAGCAGAAGCTAACTATGATTTACATAGAGGCTGACCCAGCAGAAATTTGGAAATTCTGCATTATGTAAAAAAAAAAAAAGCAAGGTTTAAAGAAGATAAACTTATACCAGCACCCATTCTGTCTGATCATTACATCTGCACTAAAAAACGGCATCTGTTCAAATCAAGACACTGTGGAAATGTGTAAAGTATGTAAAGATGGTTCTTCCTTGGCTGCAGCTCCCTCTGATCATTACATCCTGCATCACATCTGCTGACCTGCCTGAAAACAACAAAGCAACATTTTCATTGTCACAGCTCCAAAGTCAAATGGCACCAACAACAAAGTGAAATGTGAAGCTTTAAAGGGATTAATTGGAAGAAAACTTAAAATGTATGTAAAGTGCCGGTTGGTCTAGTTTACTCCATTACTGACCAACCTATTCATTTCTCAGTTCTTCAATCCTTCTGAAAGCATGAAGATGGACATAGATGCAAAGACAGCAGTGTTCCTTTTAATGGTTTATAGTTACTGTAATTCAGTTTTATTTCTATTCTGGTGAATTACAGTTAATTATAATTATTCTGTTCTGTCTCAGATTAGGGATCCTTATTGGTTTTACTGCATGATTACAAATACTGAATAAACAATTAAACAAATTCAAATGGAAAGTTCTGTAAAAAATAGATAGCAAGTTGATAAAGATAATGGTGTTAAAGCACTTTTGTTAAAAAAAGGAAACTTTAGCACCATGATGGAGAATACAATAAAGACATCTATACACATTATTTTTATGTAACATGATTTAGTAGTTCATTGAGGTCAGTCTGGTTAGTTCAACTAAAAAAATGAAATGATTACTCGTTTTAATCATCATTATTTATGCTGCTTTCTCTAATGTGCTGTCTGTCAAAGCATTTATTACTTAGACTAATTTAACAATGCCATTCTCAGTCATTACAAAAATTAAACATGATTTCTAGTTTCTTTTCTTCTCTCTTTTTTTTTTTTTTACAGTGTCCTTCCAGGCGATGTGGCAATAAGAATAATTGTCTTGATGCCAAAAAGAACCCGACAGATTTTACTTTCACAATTGGAGCAATACGGCTATCGCTATAGTGTTCCGCTTGATTTATGCATATAAATCACTTTATTAGAATTATGCAGGGAGTTTTACAGATTATATGGACACTGCAATATAAGTAGAACAAGAAAGGAAAAACTGTAAAAAAAAAAAAAAAGAGAAAAGATGAAAGATTTCTAGTTTCTAATGGTTTAGAAACTGGATTTAAAACAGGTAAAAGCTTTTAGACTCAACAGCAAGTAAAATATTTTGCTCTTAAGAACTTTTTAAAAGTAAAGACTTAAATTATTCACATGATATATCTGATTTGTA